TTGGTGGCACCGTGGTGTCCATGCGACTGGCCTGCGGTGCAGAGGGCTCCCTGGGACCAAACTTTGGCACATCCATACTTTAGTTTTGTTTGGGAATGCTGGCGCAGAAAGAACCGTGGGGCCACAAAACGGGGCATTGCTACGAAAGAAAAGCTACAGGCAGTAGAAGAGAGAGGGGTAAAAACTCCAGTCTTGGTTGCCGTGAGGTTGTCTTACTAGGTGAATGAAATGTGTGGGCGCTTAACGTGCTGGTATTGTACCTGTATGCAAAGTCTTACGAATAACAGCAGAGGAACTAAACAAATACATTAGCAGGGAACATTTTCCACAAGGTCCAGAAGGGGAAACGTTGGCTATCACCTGCCGACAAAGATTATTTTTCATTTGCCGCGCCAGAAAGCACAGCGTGTTTGTGTGCATTTCTGTCACGCGCTCTGGGCTTTATCTCGGGGTTTACCCCGAGCAAACAAAATGGTAAATTTTACTCGGAGGATGTGAAAGCAAATGAGCATCTGCCGACAAAGCTGGCTACGGGAGAAGAGGAAAGGCTGGGGCTGTCGCCAACCTGCCCGTTCCGGAGTACAGGGGGAATTACAAAGCCCCTTAGAGCTGGAGAGGGACGCGCGTGCCAGGTCCGGCTGGCAGAGCCGGCGTTTCAAAGGGATTTGGTATCTCACGCTGAGATGCTGTGACGGGATGTGCGGAATTCCGTTCTCTCTCAAGCAGGTATGTGGTGATGATATTTCAACGATAGGAGCCTAGCAAAAAACGAATGGGCGAAGTTTTCCCCTGTGACTTGTGGCATGCCTCTACTTGCAAAAAACGTCCTTAAAACACTGCTATTCGGTAAATATGCCTTTTGGAAAAGAATGTGCTTTATATACAGTCAATTCATTTTTAACATATCCGGGAAAGAACTGATTGCTATCGATGCGGATATTTCTCAAAGGCGTGACGACCAGATCTAGACGTGGTCTGTGCTGTTTTGGCAAAAACCACTCACCTGTCCTGTGCTGGATTAACGTGTACTGTGACCGCCCGAGCCATCGCCCCGGGGAGAGCCTGGTGAAGGCAGGCTCGGGGTGGAAGGCTCGGTCCCTCGCGCAGCTGGACCAGGCCACCTCGGACACAGAAGAGGCACGGTGGACACCGCCACCGTAATGGGGCTTCGTCCCTGCTTTGGGTGGGGCTGGTGGCAGCATCCTCCCCTCCCCGTCGCAACTAGAGGCGGCCAGAGCATGGGTCAGGTCCCTGACCGAGCCCTCGAGTCTGCTGCCCAAATACGAGATGGAGAGGTCAGTGAGGCAGGGCACGGAATGCTCTT